GAACTTGATCATCATTTTAATATAATTAGTACATGTGGTTTTACATTGGAAGAAATTCTTAATGAAGATCTTACATTAATTGAATATCCAGATGATATTGAAACTAGGCGTGATGATTAAATTTTATATTGTGTTTTTTCTATGAAAGTATTTAAAAGAATTTTATATTATAATAAATGACAAGAAGTACTCTTGATGTCCGACATTTTTCGAGTTGTGACATTTCACTATTTCCTCTTAGAGGTCTATCTCCAATTCACGTTTAATTGAAATTTAAGAGACGTTCCATGAAAATATCAAAATTCTGAAAACATGGTGGTCAACCAATTTTAAATCTGACCCCATAGAAATTTAGGTATTAGTGTACCATATATGAATCCAAATTATGACGGTCTACAGATCTACCTATGGTCCGCTAGGACCAACCAACCAGACACACCCTAAAAAATACCATCAAAAAATGCAAAAAATTCAACTTTTAGTTTCTGTGAATTTTTTCCTTCAAATTTTTCCACTGTTCAAATTGAGTCATATACTAGTCGATAGAGCTTGACTTGCTCTACACAATAGTATATATGACATTTCTCATCAGTCTCGATATTGAAGTCAAAAAGTCAAAATACTGTATTTTTTGACATAATATAAACTTTTCTCCCCAATATTCTGATGAAATGTATGTATCAAAAGATGAATACCAAAACAGAAATAGCATCATCGTATAGCCCGTTTAATTCTGCATTGAATAATGTATTTCATATTGTTTCAAGATATTCTACAGCTGAGTCACTACGACTCAAACATTAAGAACTGACATCATATTTAGTTATGGTCCTTCAAGAAAAGCATTCTTTTTTTTTTATATATTTCGAAATTTTGTCTATGTATTTCAATCAAGCATAGAATATGATATTTTAATCATTGCAAATTGACTCAAACTACTTTGTCTATAGCCTAAACAAACTCAATAAAACTATCGCTTGAGTTCGAGAACTCATTATACTCTGTTATAACATGATGAAAAGTCATGGAATATGAGGATAATTGAATCAGATAATATAAGATACACAAAACTCTGTTGTAATTCTATAGGAAGCCAATGTTTGTATAATTATCTTCATAACTACTTCATCATTTCTTTTTCTTGGAAATTCAAGCTAAATAAAAGTTTACTATTGGTGTAATTAACTGTATCAACTGTGTATACAGTTGTTTTCTACTGTATCATTTTGGTCTGTTTTTACAATAATTAGAAATGTATTGTTGTTTGAAAAGAGAGAATATGACATTTTAAAACGCGTCCTAATTGAGTACACCGTAACAATATCAGCTATCATTATATGCAATGGTAATGATCTAAAATCTCCGTCGGCTACTACGCGTCCTTAGATGTATCATAGTCTATATTCCTTCAACAAATGCTTCTAATAAACTAGAACTGTTGGGATATGACGTTCCAAATAAAGTTGCAAAAGCGGCCTCCAGCTTTAATGCTATAGTATATTTTATTTTTTCAGGATTTTCAAGAAAGACGACTTTGATTGCATACTAAAATAGCATTAGGGATCCGAGAGAATTATGTCAAAGCGATTCTTAGGAAAAGTCTTGTACATCTTACACCATTACATAAAACAAGCGAATAATAATCCGAGTGATCAAAAGTTGATTAGTTGATATCATCACGACTTAAAACAAATTGTATCTAGGATGATTCACCATGTTACGAGAGAAAATAACGTTTTGTTCGTTAGGATTGCTTATATAATTAGTTGTCAGATACTTTTGCCTACATAATAATATAAATGAGATCTTTCGTTTTGTGGTGCTACCAACGAGATGAACGGGTGTTATTCATTTACACTATTTGTAGTTGACGATAAAAATCGTTGATAATTAGTATAATTAAGTGCCATATTTTCGTGAAAAATTTCACACAGAATCACTTGCCGACTTGTAATCATACTGTATATTAAAGGTATATGTATATACGATTGCATAAATATCTGAACTAGAATATCAATAAATTGTTTCATTTTCTGGCGTAAAATATCTTACTTTGATGAGAATATAAAGGAAACGTTATATCTGAAAGAAGTTGATCTATTTCAAGGCACAAATTAGTTTTATACATGTTATAAATAAAAAAGATATTTGAATTAAATAAAATTAAGAGAGAAAGCCTTTTGTAATATTTCCACAATCATGATTAAAAACCAATCTTTCATAAAAATAATACAGGTAAGTGTACATCAATGCTCTGATAGTTTGCGTATGACAGAATAATAGGTACTAAAATACAGTAGAATGTGAAAAATTCAATATGCATGTTTATACACAAATATTTCAAATGAAACTACTTAGGGCATACCAAAAGTAGTGACAGTGGCACCTAAATACTGTATAGTAAGTTTTAAGAAACTGTCTTTCTATATATTCTGATAGAGAAAAGAATTCTCTATATTTCTATACTATTTGATCATACTTCAACTCATATCATAATAATAAGCTTTCGATAAGATTTGTTTCGCTATGATACGTGCCCGGCAATACTATTGCCTATGTGATCTTTTTTGAATAATTTTTGATAGAAACAAGATATAGACCTGCTATTTTCATCGTTCAAAAGAAGAGATAAAGATGTATTGAATCATGTATTATACGTTTTCCTGTTTAATCAGTTTTCTAAGTGTGGAGAAATGATTTCTTATCAAACAAGGAAACAGGAACAAATTCTATAATAGAGATCGCCAGAAAAATCACTTAAAACTTTAACTAGGGTGCCTATTACTTCTGAATGATTAATTCTAAACCTCATACCGTCTTGTAGTTCTTCCATCGACGATTTCAATACAGACCTGACATTTGAGAATTCACTGTAAACACCTCACAGGTAGGTTGACTTTCAAAGAGGTTGATTGAAAAGCTTTAAAACAGTCATGTCAAAAAAAAACCTGCAAAATATGTCTCGATGCATCTTCATCTCTTCTTTCAAGCAATGAAAACTGCAGCTCTCTATTTTGTTTCTATCAAAAGTTATTCAAAAAATATACACTAAACAGGTACTAATACTACCAGAGACATATAGCAAAAAAAATCTTATAGAGAATTTATTACTATGATATTAATTGAAGTATGATCAAATAGCATAGAAATATGGAGCATTCTTTTCTCTATCAGAATATATAGAAAGACAGTTTCTTAAAGCTTACTATAGAGTATTTAGGTGCCGCTGTCACTACTTTTGGCATGCCCTAAGTATTTGATTTTCACTTTCGTTTTTTTTGTTATACACCATTTATCATTCTAGATCACTTTTCATTTTAGGGTAGTCATTGCTTATATTTCAATCAAGTAAGTGTATTCAAACCGCGATATCGATTTATATACATGTATTTAACTTCACTGGCAAGCTTCGTAATGCGTCACTGATACTATATATCAAGTTTATGACATCAAAATATGTTTCGTAAAAACAGCAATTTTTAAAATTGAAGCTGCTACGCGATTTACCGTTGATATTGCTATAACTTAGTCGATACGATACAATTACAATAGAATTTTGTGTATTCTCTTTCTCGTAGAGAAGAGTCTAGTAGGAATAAATTGTTTGTTTGATTGCTTGTGTGTCCGCACTTCACTGATTGGTCCAAGAATAATGTGAAAACAAAAAGAATTATTTTCCATAAAACTTGACTAAAAGTAATCGGGGGTGGGGAGTTCGAATTCGATGTCAGGCTTAATTAATTATTTAATTATTAACTAATTATTAATTATTAATATTTTTAAAAAAATTTGACAAAAGGTTATTGAGGGTGGAGAATCTGAATCTCAGGATATTTTTAATTAACTAATTATTAATTATTAAAATTTTTTCAAAAACGTGACCAAAGGTGATCGAAAATCAGCAATCCTGATCTGAGAATCATTTCATATTAATAATTAGTAGAAGCAATTTTTGAAAAAGTTTAATCGAAAGTTATCTAGGATGAAGAATTCGAATCTGAAATTAGTTTAAAGTTACTAGTGATGAATTAATCAATAGTTAGTAATATTAATTATTTAAAAGTTTAGTCAAGAAGTTGTGTAGAAGAAGCAATCAAAATCAAGGATCACTTTTGAGTTTTTGTTGTATTAATTGGTTATAAGTTCTTTTCGTTACTCTTGTATTCTTGAAAAATCTTGTCGAAAAAAATCGAGCATGGCGAATCCGAATCTGACATCAGTTTTATTATCACTAATTATTAATTAATTATTAGTTAGTAGTCCGGAAATACTACTTCTACGAGAAAGAGCTAAGCGAGTCCAGAGACGAGCGTTACTTGTCTTATATTATCTGATTCAATTATCCTCATATTCCATGATTTTTCATCATGTTATAACAGAGTATAATGAGTTCTCGAACTCAAGCGATAGTTTTATTGAGTTTGTTTCATGAGTTGCCTAATTCGAATTCGAATATAAATGGACACTCAGCTACATAGTATCAATTCGAAAATAAGTGATAGAAATAGATTTAGTTTTAGATTTAGATTTACTTTAAGAGGGACTGC